TATATATATTANATATATATATATATATATATATATATATATATATATATATATATATATATATATATATATATATATATATATATATATATATATATATTGTGATTGACTGTAGGTGGAACCCTAAGGTGTTAGTGGTTGGTTAGGTGGCTAGCCTAGGCCTGGGACCCGAATAACCTAAGCCTGAGACCTGGGGAATGGTCAGGTTTAAGATTACCCATAAGCAGAGGCTGGGAAGGACCCGGACCTAGGGTTACCCGTATAGTGGGGGCCTGAGGCTCTCAGATTTGAGAGACTCTGGTTTTGGCTCAGTGATGAGTCATCCTCAAATATTGTGTAGTCGTGACCACGGTTGTAGGGCAGGACTACTTTGGGAGCAATTTGATAATATTACTAACAAACATATTTGATCATATAGATAGAGTATATGTGTGTGGCAGGAGAACTGCCACACGCTACACCACTAATATAATAACTTAGTGAATAAACCTGTAATTTGTGTGAGTCTAACTATTGTCTAGAATCACTCACAATTAGATTAGAGTAGCGTATATCAGGATAGTTAGACGCTAGTATTTATTTTTCTTCGAGATGGCGAAAGATGAGATTGAGATCTTTCATGAAAAGAGGGATGACGATTGGCAACATTGGATGAGGACGTCGGGCCAGGTTATAAAAGAGCGTAGGGCCCATAACCCTAGTCAAGTTATTGGAGCGACAGCAAAGCAGCGCCATGCTGCTGACGATTTTCTGAAGAAAGGGTTCAACACTGCGACCCAGGCCAGCAATAGAGCGACACTGGGTACAGATCTGATGGACATTGGCCTTGTCGATACTGTAATTTTAGCAAAACATTGCGACATGTTGAAGATGCTGTTTGAAGAGCCTCGTTCTGACATGCTCATTACTGTGGATCGCTTGGCCGGCGAGTATCGTAACTCACCATGGAAGGTGATTGCGTTGTTGCAGAATCTCCAAACACGGCATATGGGCCGGCACGGGGCACCACTTGTTTTGGATTCTGGCGCACAGGGATGCTGCTGGTGCCATACCCAATAACTTGGATGTCTTTGGGGTTAACCCGCAGGCCTGGAATGGCCAGGACCATGTCCAGCTTGCTGAGCGTCTCATGGTCAAGTTGCGGGCGCTTACGAGGATCCGGCTTCGTTTTTCCTGGAGGATCCGGACCGTGTGCTCATGTATGAGCCGGTGATGGAAGCTACCGAGGCGATGAAGGAGCACCTTGTTGTCACGGCGCGCTTGTCGACAAAAGGTGGGGTGATTGCAAACCACGGGTTGGAATGTTTCCAGAGCCCTCACGCCACGTTTTTCCTCGAGTTGATACGAATGTAACCTATTTATGGCAAGGCGGTCTCCGAATCGATGACGGCCATACACGAAGGTATGGATCTCTTCTTTGAGCGCTTGTTTGTGCATGACAAGGCCTTAGGAGATAACGTTAGGTTGGTATATCACATTAAGGGGCTTTCGTCTGCGCCGGTGATGGTGCAGAATGCGCAAGGAGATGTTGCTCCACCGCCGAGAGCTCCTGTGGCCTCCTCAGCGGGTCAAGGGGGGGACAGATACGAGTTAGGGGCTACGTTGGCGGCCGTTAATGATTTACGTGCCAGCATGGCTGGGCAGCAGAAGGATTTGGCGGGACAGAAGAAGGATATACGCAACCTGCTCAAGCGTAGTCGTCAGCCCAATCCCAAGAACAAAGGGGCGGATAAGGGCAAGGGCGGTCAGGAACGCCCAAGAGTGGCATCGGTAGAGCCAGGGATTGAGCTCTCGGAGGATGACGACATCCGGGCAGCTCGGGAGGTCTACCACAAGGTGATTCGCTGTTTTCAACTGTAAGCAGCGTGGACACTTTCGCAAGTCCTGCCCAGAGACACAGCAGTGACTTGCGGGCGCTCTGGGCACTGTGGTGCAGGAGAAAACGCAAGCTGGAAGTGTCATTTAGGGTGCTGTTGCTGGTGAGGATGTAGAGGTCTATGTCGACTCGGGGGCTACACCGAGCTTGGTCACCAAATTCTTTGCGGCGCAACAAGGTTTAAAAACGGCTCGATATTTAGGTCCACCTTACAAAGGGATGGCTGAGATGGGGCTTGTACGCCCATCTGGTGTGGTTAAATCTAAAGTGACAATCGATACATGGGGTGGCAATACCATTGAGAGACCAATGGATTTGCTGGTGGGGGACTCTCTGCCATTTGACACGGATATTCTGTTAGGATTTCAGTCCACGCGAAAGGACCATCTGGCCCTTATGTGGACGAAGCATGATTTTCTGACGGTGGTACCTCAAACTGCGGTCATTGACTTCCTTACTACGGAGGCTCTTGAGAATGAGCTGCCACCCATGTCGGGCCCGCGGAGAAAGCGGGCAAAGCGAGCAAAGGCAAGGAGGACGGAGGTCAACAACAAGCAACGCAAGCTCTCGGACGTGATATCGCAAGAGCTACGCTTGGATACTATTAGGAGCCGGCTGAGGTTGCAGGCTATCCATAGGAACGAGTTCAAGGAACAGGAGAGGCGCAATTATGTTGCGTCCATGAAAGCATACTTCCTTAAGGTGCAGAAGAGGGTGGAGTACTTGGCTACTGCGGCGGAGCTGGATGATGCGGACGAATATTTCCTGCCGCGGTTGAACGACTTGTTAGCGGAGGTCGACATGCCCATTGGCGCGACAACCATCTCGCCGACGAAAGAAGTGGACCCGAAGGCATATGTTGACTTTGATCAGTCTCAGCTTCGGAAGTTGCACAAGAAGTGTGGGCTCCCGAAGAAGGAATTCGATGAGATGATCTCAGCCATTCAGTCAGTTGCGTATAATGCAGCAACACGCATCTTTATGGTGTATGATGACATTCGCTTCAGGAACGGCGTGGAGTTTCACCTGAAGGATGGGGAAAAGCCGTCCTACAATGTGTACCTGAACAATGATCCGACATTCACTTCAGTGTTGGACACAAAGGTTGATAACTGGGACCATGAGGGTGTAACAAGAGAAATCTCGGAGGCCGAGGCTAAGGGCTATTGTGCCATGCCGCACATGATCTTTAAGAATCCGGGCGTAGTTCCTTTATCTGTTCATAACTAGAGTTGCTGTATCAACTACAAGAAGTTGAACGCCACGCTTAAGTATGAAGCGTACCCAGTACCGACGGAGCAAGATTTTCTGTCGGCGGTACGGGGCAAGAGGTATTGCACGATGGTGGATCTTGGGCAGGGTTTTTGTCAACAGAAGGTTGCTGAGAGTTCTCAGCATATGCTTACCTTTTGGACGCCGTGGGGAAAGCGGACGTTTGTTGGCATGCCGTTCGATATCAACCCTGCATCGTGGATCATGCAGGCGCGAATGGAGCATGCTTTCCAAAGCGTGGACGACTTGAAGATTTATATTGACGACATGGGTGTAGGCCACTACAGTGCTAGAGAGCACTGGACGAGCATTAAAAAGCTCATTGCGGCGTGTGTAAAGCACAATGCAAAATTGAACCTCAAGAAGTGTTGTTTTGGGTTCTCAGATCGGCCGGTTATCGCGTTGGGGCGAGCGTGGATGAGAATAGCTCGTACATCAGTGAGGATCGGATTGAATCCATCCTGTGCATGCCACCGCCCACGGATAAGGATCTCTTGGCCTCGTGGTATCCCACGATTGGCTACTGGAGCCAGTACGTTCCTGACTACTCTAGGGTCATGGCCCCTATCTCGAATCTGAGCAAGAAAGAAGTCCCCTTTGTGTAGGGTCGGACGCAGCAGGCGGCCTATGATCGGATTCGGGAAGAGGTAGCCAAGAGAGGGGTGTTGCTCGAGCCAGGGTTTGAAGATAAGCTGGAGCTGTATTGCGATGCCTGTGACTCAGTTGGAGTAGGTGGGGGTTTGTTTGCTCGGCGAAAGAGTAAGCTGTGCCCTGTGGGATTCTGGTCTTCGAAGTTTAGTCCAGCACAACTGGGCTACCGCATCACAGATGAGGAGGCCCTCGCAATCGTGTATTGTCTCCATAAGTCGTGGAGGATTGTCAAGCGTTCGAGACACCCGTTAACGGTGTTCACGGACCATGAACCGCTGGTGCGCATGTTGGCACAGGACCTCACCTCGTATGAGTCAACGGTTAGAGGCAGGCGGATGGCAAGATATGCGCAGGTGCTACGTGATTTTGATATCATCCTGAAGCCTGTGCCAGGGGAGTTGAATCCTGTGGCGGATGTGCAGTCTCGACTGGATTACCACTGTTCGCTTTAAGGACCTGGATGGGACCGCGTTGGTAATTCACCCCGAAGTGGTCGGATCTCGGTAAAGTGGTTACCAGGATTCGGGACAAGGCTACGGTGACAAGGCTATGGTCTGCCCGTACGCGCCTGCAGCACGTTGGTTCAAAGAAATGGTTTCTCTGCTGTCAGCAGACCCTATGGTTATTTACCAAAGAAGGGGATATTTCTCAAGCACGGGAATGAGCCAATGGAGGCGCCAGGGTTCATTACTCTGGTGTGCTATGTGAGTCCTTACCGCGACCACAAGCTTCGAGGAGACTTCTGGACGGAGTTGGAGGCTAAGCGGCCAGCTTGGGAGAAGTTGGCTGCGGCGGCGGTGCTACGTGAGTAAGACGTAGCGTCCTGTATGACACAGAGTTGTGTCATAGGGGCGGTGGCGCACCCGAGTGGGAAACCGGTACGTAGGGGTATGCCAGCGGAAGAAGCTGGTATAGAAACTACCCCTGTCAGTGCGGTCAGTGCATTGGCGCTCACCACTCAGCCTTGGCGGGAGGCTAAGGGTGTTCTGAGTGAGTCCCTGAGACATGCGAAGCATGGCTGAGAGGGGCATCTGCTAACCCTAGTGAGGGATCGCTGGGTGCGATGGCAGAGACTTGGCTGGCAACAGCTGAGGTGAGCACGAGTGGGGGATCGCTCGGTGCTATGTACACTCCCGCGTTGCTTACGCGTCGTGAGCGCAAGGCAGCGGTGGTTGTGGATACCCATCCGGTCTTGGAAGCGATGGACATCGATAAAACACAGAGTGACGCATCAGTGGAGGACCACACGTGAGAGTATGAGGAATCACTCACCACAGAGGAGTTAGTCCAGTTGGAGCAGGATCCTGCGGATGGTGTGCCACTGGATGACACGGAAGGGCCACCAGTAAACGAGCTGGGAGACAAGCTGTTGCGACAACGGTTGAGACGCTTGAAGCGTTCTGTGCTTGGTGTGGAAGTGGAAGGGGTGATGTCCTCGAGCATATCGTTCGATACACGCAAGTACTGTTTGCGCAAGCAGTGCCAAGAGACTGGATGATCTGGTACGCAGGCTATGGGGTTGGGGCGGCTTGAAAGAGATGTTGTATCGTGTCCGTAAAAGCTGCAACGCGTGTCAGGCGGTTGCCGAGGAGCCAGGTTTGGCGAAAGGCTTGCTGCTGCTGCCAGTGCGCCTAGAAGAGACCATGCGCGTGATAAGCATGGACTTTATGGACTTTGACAGTGATAACGGACAGTCCAAGGTCTTGCTGGTGGTGGACACGCAGACTAGGATGTTGTTTGCACGAGTGTGTCCTGCATCCACGGATGGGCCAGGTGTGGTTCTGCCGAGGAGCCAGGTTTGGCGAAAGGCTTGCTGCTGCAGCCAGTGCGCCCAG